GGTGATTGTCACAGACACGCAGGTTACCAGGGGATTGTCACAGACACGCAGGTTACCAGAGAATCACAGGGGACACGCAGGCTACCAGGGAATCACAGGGGACACGCAGGCTACCAGGGAATCACAGGGGACACGCAGGCTACCAGGGAATCACAGGGGACACGCAGGCTACCAGGGAATCACAGGGGACACGCAGGCTACCAGGGAATCACAGCAGACACACAGGTTACCAGGGAATCACAGGGGACACGCAGGTTACCAGGGAATCACAGGGGACACGCAGGTTACCAGGGAATCACAGGGGACACGCAGGCTACCAGGGAATCACAGGGGACACGCAGGCTACCAGGGAATCGCCACATACACGCAGGTTATCGTCTTATAACCGTAGAGATACAGGTTCTCCGGGAGACATCACCCCCGTCAATACAACTGACTCTGTCTACAGATGTTATTAAAGTGGCGCCAACCCGGCCGTTCCCTGTAGCGCCTGGCCTTGGCTGCATTGTGAACCGGACTCCGAGCTGGAATACTAGTACTGGTGCACAATGCACCTCGCTAAAAACATTCCAATAGGGTGTTTAATTGGATAGTCGGCTTTCCATAGCCTTCAGATATGTAACCCTGTACACAAATTTCGAAATAACGTTAATATCTCCTTTACAATTTCACTCAACAATATCCCAATATCACGTGTCATTTCAATCTCAGTGTAGTCTTACAACAAAAGAAAATAATCAGTCCAAACAGGAAGGTGCTGCCTATAGAATGTGGACACAACTGACATTATTATGCTGCTGAACCTATCTCACATGCCTGTACTTAATAGCTAGCCTGCTATGGATGTGTGAGAAATATCCGCATGTACTATATGGCAAAGTTTGCAGTTAGACAAGGTAACCGCTTATCCTCATGACAAACTTTGGCAGGATGACAAGACAAGCCTTTGGATGTTTTACCTCGCCATATTTAATAATGGGTCGCAGGTAATATTTAATGAATAATCTCAAACTTTTCATTTCCAATAGTATCAAGTTGCTGTGCAGAGTTGCGCCCCTTTGTCCCGCCGCGGCCCGATGGAAGTGTGTTCGACTCCAAGACACGCGACTTATTTCACACTTTGTGCAGGAACATATTACACATTACCAGTCCCAATCAAATGTTGAGTAGTATATGCCTCGACACTGATATGTATATCCGTATCAAACGTTGAATAGTATATAATTCGATAATGATATGTATATTCCAATCAAACGTTGAACAGTATATGCCTTGCCAATGATATGTTTTTCCGTATCAAACGTTGAATAGTATATAATTCGATAATGATATGTATATTCCAATCAAACGTTGAACAGTATATGCCTTGCCAATGATATGTTTATCCGTATCAAACGTTGAATAGTATATAATTCGATAATGATATGTATATTCCAATCAAACGTTGAACAGTATATGCCTTGCCTATGATATGTTTATCCGTATCAAACGTTGAATAGTATATGATTCAACAACGATATGTATATCCGTATCAAACGTTTAACCGTATATGCCTCGACAATGATATGTATATCCCAATCAAACGTTTATTAGTATCTGCCTCGACAACGATATGAATATCCGTATCAAACGTTAAATAGTATATGATTCAACAACGAGATGTATATCCGTATCAAACGTTGAACAATATAGGATTCAACAATGATATGTATATCCGTATCAAACGTTGAATAGTATATGATTCAACAACGATATGTATATCCGTATCAAACGTTAAAGAGTACATGATTCAACAACGATATGTATATTCCAATTAAACGTCGAATAGTATATGCCTCGACGACGATATGTATATCCCAATTAAACGTTGAATAGTATATGTCTCAAAACGATGTCTAATATCCCAATCAAACGTTAAACAGTATATGCGTCAACAACGACATGTACATAAAAAAAACGTTGAACAGTATATGCCTCGACAACGATATATAATTCCGTATCAAACGTCGATTAGTATATGAGTTGCGCCCCTTGGGCACGCCAGAAACCTATGATTGTGGGTTCGAATCCCGGTTCGCCCCGATAATGTTTCTAGGTTTGTCAGCACCATACCCGTGCTCGTGGGTTTCACCGAAGTGGTAAACGTCTGAGACCTGCATTACTTCGCGCTTTCCTCCCACATTAAGCTGACACGCCGTGATATAACTGGAATACTGTTAAAAGTGGCGTTAAAACCAACTTCCTCACTCATTTATTCAGATCTGACCATATTCGTTGTAAGAGAAGTCGAGACATTGTCAGCACAGCATGACAACTGATGAAACATGTTTGTTAATGAACCTACACTATGTCGAGTTGCGTCCCTTGGGCACGTCAGAAACCTATGATTGTGGGTTCGAATCTCAGTTCGCCCCGATTATGTTTCTAGGATATCAGCACCATACCCGTGCTCGTGGGTTTCACCGAAGTGGTAAACGTCTGAGACCTGTATCACTTCGAGCTTTCCTCCCACATTAAGCTGACACGCCGTGATATAACTGGAATACTGTTAAAAGTGGCGTTAAGACCAACTCACTCACTCATTAATTCAGATCTGACCATATTCGTTGTAAGAGAACTGATGAAACATGTTTGTTTATTAACCTACACTATGCACATCTTTGCATGGACCCTCCTTAGACGGGAGGACGGAATCAAACCATCTCTTGGTTCACGCGGCACTTTATGATAATGCAGTTACACGTGTATTCATTTCATCTGGAATGGCAATAACTATTTGTCTTGGTTTGTGAACGTCTATCCGTGCTTGTGGGTTTACCCAAAGTAGTAAACATCAAAGACTAGCACCATTCCGGGGTTTCCTCTGTTTGTTTGGTTGGTTGTTTGGTTGGTTGTTTGGTTGGTTGTTTGGTTGTTTGGTTGGTTGTTTGGTTGGTTGTTTGGTTGGTTGGTTGTTTGGTTGGTTGTTTGGTTGTTTGGTTGGTTGTTTGGTTGTTTGGTTGGTTGTTTGGTTGGTTGTTTGGTTGTTTGGTTGGTTGTTTGGTTGTTTGGTTGGTTGTTTGGTTGGTTGGTTGGTTGGTTGGTTGGTTACTGCTGCACTCAGCAATATTCCAGCTATATGACGGCGGTCTGTGAATAATCGAGCGTGGACCAGACAATCCAGTAATTTACATCATAAGCATCGATCCACGTAATTGGGAAACGATGGCATGCACCCGACCCTGTTAGTCGCCTCTTACGACAAGCATTGGTTGCTGAAGACCTATTCTAACCCGGATCTTCACGGGTCACATCAAGCTGACACCCTATGATGTTAGTGAACTTCTATAAGAGAGGTGTCAAAATAAACTAATCAGCAAATCAATAAATCAATAAATCCAGATTTTATTTAGAAAGGTCAATGTTATTCTTTACATTTTCATTGTAATACAAATCTGTTCTGGAAGTAAACTGCCGGGCAAAAGAAAGTATACACCCATGTTCGATGGTGGCTAAATATCAAACAAATAAGAAATGGTTGTTCAACGGTGATGTATTTGATACGGGTGTCATAGTTTTGATTTGGACCTTAACTTTGCAGTGTTTCAGTCGATTAACGTTTTAATAATGTTTGTAATGCTTTGGTCAAGTCCTATTTCCAGGGGGCACGGGTGGCCCAGTCGTCTAAGGCGCTGCAATTCGCTGTGCAGAGTTGCGTCCCTTGGGCACGTCAGAAACCTATGATTGTGGGTTCGAATCCCGGTTCGCCCCGATTATGTTTCTAGGTTGTCAGGACCTCATCCGTGCTTCACCGAAGTGGTAAACGTCTGAGACCTGCATCACTTCGAGCTTTCCTTCCACATTAAGCCGAATTGTCGTGATATAACTGGAATACTGTGAAAAGCGACGTTACACCAAACTCACTCACTCACTCACTCACTCCTATTTCCAAGTGTCTACTGTCTTTTGCCAAGCAGTTTAGGTCAGTCAAACTTCTAGGACATTCCCGGGCAGAGAAGATTCCTAGTAGTCCATTGATTTCGTAGCATCTATGGGGGAAGGTATATTTTCCACATCTCGAGTACCAACAGGTCGCCGTGACCAAGATGGGATACGAGTGCCTGTGGCGTATAGCAATACGAAGGCAGGTCAAAAAGTTCTAACAAAACCAACAATGGAGAAAGTGTTTATAATTTCATATTTCAACATAATCTCCCTGCTTTTCAATACACTTCTCATATCGATAGTGAAGCTTTTCAATTCCGGTCAGGAAGACGTTTTCTGAAGCCACCCTGAAAAACCCACGGCAGCTTTGTGGTCATCGTTGTCGTCATAGCGCTTTCTACGAAAGTGTTCTTACAGTTAAGGAAACAGGTGGAAATCATTTGGTGCCAGGTCTGGCGAGTATGGAGGGTGGGGAAGCATTTCGAACATTTCGCACAGCAGCCTTTACAAATCGAGAGGCATTGTCATGAAATAGTAGAAGTCCAGAAGTCAGAATTCCTCGCCGCTTTTCTCTGATAGAAACTATAAGGCGATGAAGCAAACCAGTATAGTAGGCTCCGGTAATCGTCTTTTGACTTTCCAAGTTATCAACAAGGGTCACACACTTTACAGTGGCCATAACTGTAACTACTCAAACAATGTACTACATTGACTAGTTCATTTTGTTATGGCCCATAGTTGAAAGTTAGTCAGGCTTGACCGGCCCCCGTATTCATTCAATTACGGTCCATACAGTCAGAGACTTCAAGGGGAGACAAGGCAACCCGTTCCAACAGCCCAGTGAAGGTCCGGGGTAGAATAGGTCTTCAGCAACTCATGATTGTCGTAAGAGGAGACTATCGGGATCTGGTGGTCAGGCTCGCTGACTTTGTATGATGCATGTCATTGTCTCCCAATTTGAGTTGATCGATTCTCATGATGTTAATCATTGTATTGTCTGGCCCAGACTCGATTATTTACAAACCACCGTCGCATAGCTGGAATATCGCTGAATGCGGCGTTAAACAACATACACATTTCCAACAGATGTGTTTAATTTGAAACAAGGCTTGGACATAGCCTCCCGACTTTTTATCCATATACACAAGCTTTCATGCCAAATTTACTTTACAATATCTCAGTTTATGCAGACACTGTGATTAGAATCATTCTCATTTCATTGCAACGAATGAATAAAATCAAACCAAAAGGACTGTGCAGTTTATAGAATGTGGTTTGTGGCTAAATAGTATATTCCTGATCTTATTCGGAACAATATATCTGTACTGCCTCACTGTTCTGTGGTTAAAACAATATTCAATATAACTTTGATTGTCGTGTCGTGTTTTCGTGATAATGATCGATAGGAGAAAGAGTCTTGCAATTGCGAGCGATGGCCAAGTTGTGACGAAAGTCGCTAACTGAGATATTAGAGTTTTAAAAGTGCGTCCCTTGTATGTAGGCAGGCTGTGACTCTGTGGTATCCCTTTCCTGATCAAGTTGTATGCTTCGTTTGCGTCGTTTGCGTCTTCTGGAACACGAGAATGTATCTGATGCTGTCATAATGCTGAGGGTTGGATATAACTTTTTTCAACATATTTCTTTTAAACAATCCCCAAGGCAGTCAGGACATGCACAGAAGGCTACAACCTACCCAAGTATACATATGCATGTGTTTACTGGGCCATGTCAGCACACCCAAGTGATACAGATTCACGTTTTACTCGGTTGGTTGGTTGGTTGTTTTACGCCGCACTCAGCTATAATCCAGCTATGTGACGGCGGTTTGTAAATATTCGAGTCTGGACCAGACAATCCAGTGGTTGATACCATGACCATCGATCTACGCAATTGGGATCGATGACATGCATCAATCAAGACCCCCCGATCCCGTTAGTCGCCTGTTACGACAAGCATAGACGCCTTTTACGGCAAGCATGGGTTGCAGAAGGCCTATTCTATCCCGGATCGTCACGGGTCCGTTTTAACTCGGCCTAGTCAGCACACTGAAATATACAGATGCACGTGTTTACTCGGCCTAGTCAGCACACCCAAGTATACTGATGCATGTGTTTATTCGGCCTAGTCAATTCACCCAAGTATACAAGGGCACGTGTTTACTCGGCCTAGTCAGCACACTGAAATATATAGATGCACGTGTTTACTCGGCCTAGTCAGCACACTGAAATATACAGATGCACGTGTTTACTCGGCCAAGTCAAGTCACCCAAGCATCCAGATGCACGTGTTTACTCAGCCTAGTCAGCACACTGAAAAATACAGATGCACGTGTTTACTCGGCCTAGTAAGCACACTGAAATATACAGATGCACGTGTTTACTCGGCCTAGTCAGCACACTGAAATATATAGATGCACGTGTTTACTCGGCCTAGTCAACACACTGAAATATACAGATGCACGTGTTTACTCGGCCTAGTCAGCACACGGAAATATACAGATGCACGTGTTTACTCGGCCTAGTCAGCACACCCAAGTATACTGATGCATGTGTTTATTCGGCCTAGTCAATTCACCCAAGTATACAAGGGCACGTGTTTACTCGGCCTAGTCAGCACACTGAAATATATAGATGCACGTGTTTACTCGGCCTAGTCAGCACACTGAAATATACAGATGCACGTGTTTACTCGGCCAAGTCAAGTCACCCAAGCATCCAGATGCACGTGTTTACTCAGCCTAGTCAGCACACTGAAAAATACAGATGCACGTGTTTACTCGGCCTAGTAAGCACACTGAAATATACAGATGCACGTGTTTACTCGGCCTAGTCAGCACACTGAAATATATAGATGCACGTGTTTACTCGGCCTAGTCAACACACTGAAATATACAGATGCACGTGTTTACTCGGCCTAGTCAGCACACGGAAATATACAGATGCACGTGTTTACTCGGCCTAGTAAGCACACTGAAATATACAGATGCACGTGTTTACTCGGCCTAGTCAGCACACTGAAATATACAGATGCACGTGTTTACTCGGCCAAGTCAAGTCACCCAAGCATCCAGATGCACGTGTTTACTCAGCCTAGTAAGCACACTGAACTATACAGATGCACGTTCTTACTCGGCCTAGTCAGCACACTGAAATATACAGATGCACGTGTTTACTCGGCCAAGTCAAGTCACCCAAGCATCCAGATGCACGTGTTTACTCAGCCTAGTCAGCACACTGAAATATATAGATACACGTGTTTACTCGGCCTAGTCAGCACACTGAAATATACAGATGCACGTGTTTACTCGGCCAAGTCAAGTCACCCAAGTATCCAGATGCACGTGTTTACTCAGCCTAGTCAGCACACTGAAATATATAGATGCACTTGTTTACTCGGCCTAGTCAGCACACTGAAATATACAGATGCACGTGTTTACTCGGCCTAGTAAGCACACTGAAATATACAGATGCACGTGTTTACTCGGCCAAGTCAAGTCACCCAAGCATCCAGATGCACGTGTTTACTCGGCCTAGTCAGCACACTGAAATATACAGATGCACGTGTTTACTCGGCCTAGTCAAGTCACCCAAGCATCCAGATGCACGTGTTTACTCAGCCTAGTCAGCACACTGAAATATATAGATGCACGTGTTTACTCGGCCTAGTCAGCACACTGAAATATACAGATGCACGTGTTTACTCGGCCTAGTCAGCACACTGAAATATACAGATGCACGTGTTTACTCGGCCAAGTCAAGTCACCCAAGCATCCAGATGCACGTGTTTACTCGGCCTAGTCAGCACACTGAAATATACAGATGCACGTGTTTACTCGGCCAAGTCAAGTCACCCAAGCATCCAGATGCACGTGTTTACTCGGCCTAGTCAGCACACTGAAATATACAGATGCACGTGTTTACTCGGCCTAGTCAGCACACTGAAATATACAGATGCACGTGTTTACTCGGCCAAGTCAAGTCACCCAAGCATCCAGATGCACGTGTTTACTCGGCCTAGTCAGCACACTGAAATATACAGATGCACGTGTTTACTCGGCCAAGTCAAGTCACCCAAGCATCCAGATGCACGTGTTTACTCGGCCTAGTCAGCACACTGAAATATACAGATGCACGTGTTTACTCGGCCAAGTCAAGTCACCCAAGCATCCAGATGCACGTGTTTACTCGGCCTAGTCAGCACACTGAAATATACAGATGCACGTGTTTACTCGGCCAAGTCAAGTCACCCAAGCATCCAGATGCACGTGTTTACTCAGCCTAGTCAGCACACTGAAATATATAGATGCACGTGTTTACTCGGCCTAGTCAGCACACTGAAATATACAGATGCACGTGTTTACTCGGCCTAGTCAGCACACTGAAATATACAGATGCACGTGTTTACTCGGCCAAGTCAAGTCACCCAAGCATCCAGATGCACGTGTTTACTCGGCCTAGTCAGCACACTGAAATATACAGATGCACGTGTTTACTCGGCCAAGTCAAGTCACCCAAGCATCCAGATGCACGTGTTTACTCGGCCTAGTCAGCACACTGAAATATACAGATGCACGTGTTTACTCGGCCTAGTCAGCACACTGAAATATACAGATGCACGTCTTTACTCGGCCAAGTCAAGTCACCCAAGCATCCAGATGCACGTGTTTACTCGGCCTAGTAAGCACACTGAAATATACAGATGCACGTGTTTACTCGGCCAAGTCAAGTCACCCAAGCATCCAGATGCACGTGTTTACTCGGCCTAGTAAGCACACTGAAATATACAGATGCACGTGTTTACTCGGCCAAGTCAAGTCACCCAAGCATCCAGATGCACGTGTTTACTCGGCCTAGTAAGCACACTGAAATATACAGATGCACGTGTTTACTGCGCCTAGTCAGCACACTGAAATATACAGATGCACGTCTTTACTCGGCCAAGTCAAGTCACCCAAGTATGCAGATGCACGTGTTTACTCGGCCTAGTCAGCACACTGAAATATACAGATGCACGTCTTTACTCGGCCTAGTAAGCACACTGAAATATACAGATGCACGTGTTTACTCGGCCTAGTAAGCACACTGAAATATACAGATGCACGTGTTTACTCGGCCTAGTAAGCACACTGAAATATACAGATGCACGTGTTTACTCGGCCTAGTAAGCACACTGAAATATACAGATGCACGTGTTTACTCGGCCAAGTCAAGTCACCCAAGCATGCAGATGCACGTGTTTACTCGGCCTTGTAAGCACACTGAAATGTGCAGATGCACTTGTTTACTCGGCCTAGTCAAGTCACCCAAGCATGCAGATGCACGTGTTTACTCGGCCTAGTAAGCACACTGAAATATACAGGTGCACGTATTTACTCGGCCAAGTCAAGTCACCCAAGCATGCAGATGCACGTGTTTACTCGGCCTAGTCAGCACACTGAAATATACAGATGCACGTGTTTACTCGGCCTAGTAAGCACACTGAAATATACAGATGCACGTGTTTACTCGGCCAAGTCAAGTCACCCAAGCATCCAGATGCACGTGTTTACTCGGCCTAGTCAGCACACTGAAATATACAGATGCACGTGTTTACTCGGCCAAGTCAAGTCACCCAAGCATCCAGATGCACGTGTTTACTCGGCCTAGTCAGCACACTGAAATATACAGATGCACGTGTTTACTCGGCCAAGTCAAGTCACCCAAGCATCCAGATGCACGTGTTTACTCGGCCTAGTCAGCACACTGAAATATACAGATGCACGTGTTTACTCGGCCAAGTCAAGTCACCCAAGCATCCAGATGCACGTGTTTACTCAGCCTAGTCAGCACACTGAAATATATAGATGCACGTGTTTACTCGGCCTAGTCAGCACACTGAAATATACAGATGCACGTGTTTACTCGGCCTAGTCAGCACACTGAAATATACAGATGCACGTGTTTACTCGGCCAAGTCAAGTCACCCAAGCATCCAGATGCACGTGTTTACTCGGCCTAGTCAGCACACTGAAATATACAGATGCACGTGTTTACTCGGCCTAGTCAGCACACTGAAATATACAGATGCACGTCTTTACTCGGCCAAGTCAAGTCACCCAAGCATCCAGATGCACGTGTTTACTCGGCCTAGTAAGCACACTGAAATATACAGATGCACGTGTTTACTCGGCCAAGTCAAGTCACCCAAGCATCCAGATGCACGTGTTTACTCGGCCTAGTAAGCACACTGAAATATACAGATGCACGTGTTTACTCGGCCAAGTCAAGTCACCCAAGCATCCAGATGCACGTGTTTACTCGGCCTAGTAAGCACACTGAAATATACAGATGCACGTGTTTACTGCGCCTAGTCAGCACACTGAAATATACAGATGCACGTCTTTACTCGGCCAAGTCAAGTCACCCAAGTATGCAGATGCACGTGTTTACTCGGCCTGGTCAGCACACTGAAATATACAGATGCACGTCTTTACTCGGCCTAGTAAGCACACTGAAATATACAGATGCACGTGTTTACTCGGCCTAGTAAGCACACTGAAATATACAGATGCACGTGTTTACTCGGCCTAGTAAGCACACTGAAATATACAGATGCACGTGTTTACTCGGCCTAGTAAGCACACTGAAATATACAGATGCACGTGTTTACTCGGCCAAGTCAAGTCACCCAAGCATGCAGATGCACGTGTTTACTCGGCCTTGTAAGCACACTGAAATGTGCAGATGCACTTGTTTACTCGGCCTAGTCAAGTCACCCAAGCATGCAGATGCACGTGTTTACTCGGCCTAGTAAGCACACTGAAATATACAGGTGCACGTATTTACTCGGCCAAGTCAAGTCACCCAAGCATGCAGATGCACGTGTTTACTCAGCCTAGTTAGCACAACGAAATATACTGCTATGGAGCGTTTATGAATATTGTGGAAAGTGTTTGGGCTATATAAAGGACGAGTGCGTGACTATTTCATCTCTTACACATTTCCTCACACATTTTCATCTGAGAATACACCAAGACCAGCTTTCGTGTGAAGATCACTTATCACCCTGGATTCCTAGCTCAGGCCCAATATCGGAAGCTTGACCACTGTTGCCACTGGGTGAATATATTATCATGATTGACTTTTGCTGTCACCACTATATTTGATACTGACTACTACCATCATATCCTGCCATTGAATATTATACTGCTGCTCTTTTGTGTACTGCCATTGAAATTGCTGTGTATTAATTTGTATTGATTTGAAAATCTAGTGAATTTTGTAGTACATTTGTTGATTGTACATCATTTGTTGTTTGTTTCCTTCACAATATATTCTTTTACATAAAGATTTCTGGGTTAAGATATTATTTCATTGTGTGATTCGACCCGTAACAAGGAATACAGAAGGACGTGTGTACTTGACTTGGTCAGCTTACCCAAGTATAACGAGACATGTGATGATGAAGGCTATGGTGACGGTTCCTATGGTTACGGCGATACCGATTTGAGCATCTGTAGACATCCGAGGACTCCCTGTAAAAGGAACTGTGGATAAAGGGTAGGAACACACGAATGATTGGAACATTGTTGTAAACAACGCTTGCTTTGAAGGTCCCCTCTAATAATCGAAAATACAAACAAACTCCCGTTATCGTAAATTACAAAACACGAAGTTAACAGTAAATAAGAACAAAAGTTAAGCAACAAAAATGCTTATTATGTCCCTTACCCATCATCACATAAGGTGGGGTAATGACGATATTCAGTAGCCACTCGATGTTTGCTTCGATCATAGCCCATTTATTATCGTCGTTGCGAGTACTATTGTACGAAGTGTTTTTAATGAGTCTACTAACATCGACATCGCTTAAATCTCCTAGATTACCCGTGAATGTGACTTCTTTCCGCTTGTATACATTATCGTGTAAGTGTAAAGCGTATAACTTACCATTGTAACCGGGTTTATCAAATCCTTCTGTGTCTCCGAGATCGGAAAGCGCAATTGTATTACATTGTCTTACTGTTCCAGGGCCTGATGCATCAACCATTATTTTTAATATGGAGTGTTACACTTAAGTATCCTATATGTACAGGTTGGTGTTTTACATCTAATACAGAAATTTTGAGGTCTGAAATAATACCCCACTTTAATTTTTTATATTGTAATGTTGAGAAAGATTCCGTTCTACCGCTATTATATTTTTCATTTTTAACTGGAATAGATCTGAGCAAAGTTGAAGGACTTTCTAGTTGAATATTATCCGTCGTGCTTATTTGATCAAGATGGATGAACAACTCTTTATAGGGAACTAAATCGGGTAATTTAGATCCATAAGATGTTGCCTTGTATAAACTCATATATCTGAAATCATCATTTATTATTCGTGCAAATCCAAGTTTATCTGATAAGTTCTCATGAATATATATACCTTTTTCTCCAGCGTCTAATTTCAGTATCCCATTCGCCTCATTTTGTGTGAGACTCATTCCATTAGGTTTAAAAATTTCCTCATTGAGTGAGCTTACGCTGTAATACCCATAAGGTATAGTAATGATTTTATTTTCTTCTCTTATATTCATCTCATTACTATATTTATATTTTGTAGCATTTATATTGGTCCACCTCGGGTAATACGTTACATCGCATAGGGCGACTTCGAGTTGACCATCCGAATTATCGATAGTACGAAGCAGTTGAATAGACTGACCATTTGTTATTCCCAGGAGTGTAACATACATATCAAATATACAATGATACTATATCATAACTTAAATATGGAATCAACCATTATATAATATGGAGTGTTACACTTAAGTATCCTATATGTACAGGTTGGTGTTTTACATCTAATACAGAAATTTTGAGGTCTGAAATAATACCCCACTTTAATTTTTTATATTGTAATGTTGAGAAAGATTCCGTTCTACCGCTATTATATTTTTCATTTTTAACTGGAATAGATCTGAGCAAAGTTGAAGGACTTTCTAGTTGAATATTATCCGTCGTGCTTATTTGATCAAGATGGATGAACAACTCTTTATAGGGAACTAAATCGGGTAATTTAGATCCATAAGATGTTGCCTTGTATAAACTCATATATCTGAAATCATCATTTATTATTCGTGCAAATCCAAGTTTATCTGATAAGTTCTCATGAATATATATACCTTTTTCTCCAGCGTCTAATTTCAGTATCCCATTCGCCTCATTTTGTGTGAGACTCATTCCATTAGGTTTAAAAATTTCCTCATTGAGTGAGCTTACGCTGTAATACCCATAAGGTATAGTAATGATTTTATTTTCTTCTCTTATATTCATCTCATTACTATATTTATATTTTGTAGCATTTATATTGGTCCACCTCGGGTAATACGTTACATCGCATAGGGCGACTTCGAGTTGACCATCCGAATTATCGATAGTACGAAGCAGTTGAATAGACTGACCATTTGTTATTCCCAGGAGTGTAACATACATATCAAATATACAATGATACTATATCATAACTTAAATATGGAATCAACCATTATATAATATGGAGTGTTACACTTAAGTATCCTATATGTACAGGTTGGTGTTTTACATCTAATACAGAAATTTTGAGGTCTGAAATAATACCCCGCTTTAATTTTTTATATTGTAATGACGAGAAAGATTCCGTTCTACCACTATTGTATTTTTCATTTTTCACTGGAACACATCTGAGTAGAGTTGAAGGACTTTCTTGTTGAATATTATCCGTCGTACTGATCTGATCAAGATGGATGCAGAACTCTTTATAGGGAACTAAATCGGGTAATGCATCTCCATCAGATGTTGTCCTGTATATTGATAATATAAAGTTTCTTGATCTTTCTACCTGTGTAAATCCAAGTGTAATTGCTAAGTTCTCATGAATCCATATACCCTTTTCTCCAGTGCCGATTTTCACTATCCCATTCCACTCATTTTGTGTGATACTTATTCCATTAGGCTTAAAAATTTTATCATTGAGTGAGCATATATTGTAATACCCATCAGGTATATTAATGTTTTTTTCAATAATATTTTGTTTATCTGTTATAGACAACTCATTATTATCTCTAGCAGCACTTATATTGGTCCACCGTGGGTAATACGTTACATCACATAGAGCTACTTCGAGTTGTCCATCCGAGTTATCGATAGTATGAAGCAGTTCAATAGACTGACCATTTGTTATTCCCGGGAGTGTAACATACATATTAAATATACAATGATACTATATCATAACTAAAATATGAAATCGAGATACATTACTAATCAATCGATTATAGTAACTGCCTCTGGTGCTGAATTTTTCGTTAAATTCCCAGATATCTTTGAAAAGTACAGGGTCACGGCAACTAGCGATAAAATGGTGCACGATTGGTTTCACAATCCGATGCAATTTTGGCAGAATCAGTTAAACTTTGCCATATGGTGTGCCACAACGGGATGTGGCATATCTGTTAATGCCCCAGGATTTATGCTAAATAAGTCTGTTTTATTATTTCACGTGTACTATCAGATTAGACGTATACTTAACGAAATTAGTCCTCCATTACCGCAGGATGGAGCGTGGAATTCCACAAATAATAATTATGATAGGTCCGCGTATGAGCGTATTTGTAATGAATTTAATGTTTCTACGAGTAAAGATTGGCGCATTAAAGGAGCAAACCATGGTCTAGGTGTTCCGTACAGCGGACAAAGAACTGTTAAAGAAGTCAGCGATGATTTAGTTAAAAAAACTCATCAACCATTCGATCCATTTAAATTCTTACAGATAGACAATCTTTTTGTAAGATTGCATAATCTTAATCATGGCTGGGAACTTTCGAGTAACGATTGCAGAGGTTCTCTTATGAGTTTTAAGGGTGGTTTGGCTTATATTGTTACAAAATTTATACAAATGAACGATACCGCAAACGCTTGGAATGAATTTCTTAATGATAAAACGGAAAATAATTTTACTAACCCAGGATTTGTAAGATTTAATGAATCGATAAGAACTTATGTATGGGCAATTCTCGGTGCACAATCGCAAACACGAACGTCCATTATCGGTACTGGGACGGCGCTCGATGCGCAAAAACAGTTTGTCGCAAATGTGGAGGACGCCATTAATTCACCAGTTGACATACCATCGTCTATAAAGCGTTTTCAAAATGCATGACAGTACGCTCAATCCAAAGTGGACTTCGTTTATGCGCGGGGACTATACATGTCTCCGAGTAATATGGAACTTAAGATCGGTCAAGTGATAGGCTATAATAATAAAATTGTTATCGCTACCGATCAACAAAAACCAGGTATAAACTCAGATATTAACGTAGATTTAATAACGCAAACGATCACGGGCGAAAAGGGAATAGTCAAGCCGCAGTTATCTACTAAAACATCTACTAACGCACAAGTACCACCGCATATTGCAGCTAAAAATCAACAACATATCGATGAAAAAACAGCGCTTGTAGTGGGTGGAGTCTCGGTTGGCTTACTCATGATTTGGTTAGCGAACTGATTTGGTGGATAAATAGTTCTTAGCGAACTGATTTGGTGGATAAATAGTTCTTAGCGAATACGTACAACAGCCCTGCAATTGCTACGATCAGCCCCCACAAGTTTTGACTCAGCCAAGTGGTGGTCTTAGCTAATAAATTCAATAGCCAGGAAACAACACTCCCTATTATACCGGGAAGTGCAGCCGCGGCTTTCTCAGCAAGCTTTCCCAGTGCTGAACCTAATGCTTTTAAATGCTTTTTTATCCACTCTTTTATACCATTTTTATCGTTGGGCGGTGATCCGCCTCCACCTGTACTGCCACCTGTTAACGAGAGAGTCAAAGTCGATATAATAAATCCCAACGCGGTTAAAATACTGGCAATTGTTATTCCCTGTTCTCTGAACAATGTTTTAATTTTATCGGCCAGTGTAGTGTCATCGTTGAGGACTTGATCGATAGTTTCTCGAATTCGACTGATTTGCGAACGAAGTGCCTTTCTATTACTGGAAGCTGCCTCGAGGCGGGCCGATCTTTCATCTTCTAAGTTACGCAATCTTTCCGCTACGCGGCGTCTACTGAACTCATCGCCCGCCTGTTCAAGTTTTGTTTTCTCTTTAGCTATATGCTTGTCGATTTCGGATATCTTGGCTATATTATTGATGAGTTCTCCCCGCATTGTTCGCATTGCCTTGTCAAGACCTCGTAATTCCCTAATACTGAACTCCGATACCTGTAACGTGGAATTATCGTAATAGGTATCTAAGATTTCTCCGAGTCTGTCCGAGGCCACCTTCGAGGAAGCCTCCAAATCATCTGTATTACCGAGTTCAGTACGCACGGTTTGAAGAACCTTAGTAGTCTTCGCGGAAAGTCGTCGGTAGTCCACAAAACCTAATTTATCACAAACAGTGCCGATGCCGTGTTTAGCAGCTATCGTAGACAAGGCTAGGGGCTTACGAGTACGAGAATGCATAAGATCAATATCTGGAGCGCCACGCAGTCGCAATATTCCTTTACTATCTATCTCAAACTTTGAATAGTCACGACCTATTGGGGTATCTTCTTTTAAGGCATCGTAATAATCATTGACGGA